CCCCCAGAGCTGTGCCTGCTGTCCCCGCGCTGCCCCCATGTTGTCCCCACACCGTCCCTATTGCCACCCCCCCGTCTGCCCCCCCGCCCCACATGCTCTGTAATCCCACTGCGTCTGAGTCAGCCGGAAAAACACAGCTCAGCTCCAGCACGGGGTCATCGAGGGGGGACCGTGGGGTCACCGAGGGGGGACAGCGGTGTGGGGTCATTGGGGCAGGGACAGTGATGTGGGGATGCTGGGGTGGGGTGTTGAGTGGGGTCGTTGAGTGGGGTCGTTGAGTGGGAACAGTGGATGTGAGGACGTTGGTGTGGGGTCATTGAGTGGGGTCGTTGAGTGGGATGTTGAGTGGGGTCAGTGGGATGTTGGTATGGGGTCGTTGAGTGGGATCCTTGAGTGGGGTCGTTGAGTGGGGACAGTGGATGTGAGGGTGTTGGTGTGGGGTCGTTTAGTGGGGTCACTGAGTGGGGTCGTTGAGTGGGGCCATTGAGTAGGGACAGTGGATGTGAGGATGTTGGTGTGGGGTCGTTGAGTAGGAACATTGGGTGTGGGGTCATCGGGGCAGGGACAGCGACGTGGGGACACTGAGGTGGGGCATTGAGTGGGGTCATTGAGTGGGAACAGTGGATGTGAGGGTGTTGGTGTGGGGTCATTGAGTGGTTGTTGAATGGGGACATTAAATGGGGACAGCAGTGTGGGGTCATTGGGTGTGGGGTTGTTTAGTGGGGCCGTTGGGTGGAGATGTTGAGTTGGGTCATTGGTGTGGGGTCATTGGTGTGGGGTCATTGGTGTGGGGTTGTTGGTGTGGGGTCATTGATGTGGGGTCGTTGAATAGGAATGTTGAGTTGGGTCATTGGTGTGGGGTCATTGGGTGTGGGGTCGTTAAGTGGGCTGTTGAGTGGGGTCACTGAGTTGGGTCATTTGTGTGGGGTCATCGTGTTGGGTTATTGATGTGGGGCCATTGGGTGTGGGATGTTGAGTTGGGTCATTGGTGTGGGGTCATTGGTGTGGGGTCACTGATGCGGGGTCATTGATGCGGGGTCATTGGTGTGGGGTCACTGATGTGGGGTCATTGATGTGGGGTCATTGATGCGGGGTCGTTGGTGTGGGGTCGTTGGTGTGGGGTCACTGATGTGGGGTCATTGATGTGGGGTCATTGAGTGGGGTCGTTGGTGTGGGGTCGTTGGTGTGGGATCATTGAGTAGGAATGCAGAGTTGGGTCACTGGTGTGGGGTCATTCTGTTGGGTCATTGATGTGGGGCCACTGGTGTGGGCACAGTGCTGTTTCCTTTTGGGAAACACAACCCAACCCCAAACCCCCCAAGGCCCCCAGACCCCCGGCCCAGCCCTGCCATGCTTATGGGGGCTGCGGGTGCTCCGGTCTGCTCCCCCCCAGTGCCGCGCCGGTTCCGACCCGACGCTTCCGTCAGCCAACGTGGGGCGGGAGGGGACGTGGCGCAGCCCCACAACCAGCCCCACAGCCCGCCCTCCCCCTCGTCCGCCCCCAGATGCCAAAGGGACGATCAGGGAGATCGTGCTCCCCAAAGGCCTGGACCTGGACCGGCCCAAGCGGACGCGCACGTCCTTCACGGCGGAGCAGCTCTACCGCCTGGAGCTGCAGTTCCAGCGCTGCCATTACGTGGTGGGCCGCGAGCGCAGCGAGCTGGCAAGGCAGCTCAACCTCTCCGAGACGCAGGTGAGGGGGAGACCCCACCGCGGGACCCACGACCGGACCCCCATGTGGGGCTGGGGGCCGCTGAGCCCCCGGGTGGGAGGTGGGCGCCTCTCGGGGCCGCCTGGAGATGGGGGGTGGTGCGGGGCGGCGGCACGGGGTTGTGGGGCCAACGTGGGGGGTTGGGGTGGGTTGGGTTGGGGTGGGATTTGGGTTGGGATCCAGGAGAGCTGTGGGTGCTGCTATGGACGAGTTGACTTCACCCCATGGCTTGGGAGCCAACGCCGTGGTCGGGATTTGGCTGGGATGGGGGTGATGTTAAGGATGGGTCTGTCTTGGCTTTGGAGCCAATGTGGGGGGTGGGACTGGGCTGGGGTGGGATTTGGGTTGGGGTCTGCTGTGCTGCTGTGGGTGGGGGAGCCTCACCCTGTGGCTTTTGGGTGGGCAGTGGGATTTGGTTGGGACCCAGGAGAGGTGTGCGTGGGGGTGGCCCTCGCCCTGCGCCTTCGTAGTCAGCGCGGTGTTTGGGATTCAGCTGGGAGATGGGATTTGGGTTGGGGTCCAGGAGAGGGGTGCGGTGCTGTGAGGGGTCACCCTCACCCTAAGCTTTGGAGCCCACATCCGTGGGGACACCTCTGTACCATCCCACCCCATCCATGGGGTCACCCTGTGCCATCCATGGGGTCACCCTGTGCCACCCCCCCCACGGCACACCCTCCTGCCTGCAAAATGTCCCCTTTTGGTGCTTTCCCCCACCCCGCACACCAGGTCCCACTTTTGGGAGCCCCAGATGCGGGCGGGACGGCGGTGCCCAGCGCCGTGCTTTTCTCCTTAATCCCTCCCAATGTCCGTTGGCGTTAAGGCAGTTTAATTAGCCGGCGGAATCCTTTAATTAACTGCAAAAGCAGCAGCTTGGAAACGCATCGCCTCCAGCGGGGCGGGCGGTGTGTGCCATTATGGTGTCATTCGGTGCCATCAGGTGCCATCAGGTGCCATCAGGTGCCATCAGGTGTCATTCGGTCACCACGGGGCCGGGGGTGCAGCAGGTTTTAGGGTCGGCTGAGCGGAAGGAGCCGGGCGGTAGCTGCCCCAAATCCGCGGCGGAGGGGAGGGCGGCACCCAGGGAGGGGCTTTGCTCTCGGGTCAGGAGTTGAGTGGAGGCTCAGGTCTGGGTGCCCGCAGCCTTCGGGGCCCTGCCCTCACCGGCGGTACAGCGTCCCCAGGGCTGCAGGAGCTCGGGGGGTCCGGCCATCCATCCGTCCATCTGTCCATCCATCTGTCCGTCCATCCATTCCTATGTCCATCCATCCGTCTGTCCATCCATCCATTCCTATGTCCATCCACCCATCCGTCCATCAGTCCATCCATCCATTTGTATGTCCATCATCCATCCGTCCGTCCGTCCATTCATACATCCATCCACCTGTCCATCCATCCATCCATCCATCTGTCCATCCATCCGTCCATCTGTCCATCCATCCATTCCTATGTCCATCCATCCATCTGTCCATCCATCTGTCCATCCATACATCCGTCCGTCCATCCGTCCATCCATCCATCCATCCATCCATCTGTCCATATGTCTGTCCATCTGTCCATCTATCCATCACCTGACCATCCATCCCTCCTTCCATCTGTCCATCTCTCCATCCCTCCCTCCATCCATCTGTCCATCCATCCGTCTGTCTGCCCATCCATCCATCCATCCATCCATCCATCCATCCATCCATCCATCCATCTCTATGCCATCATCCATCCATCCAGCCATCCATCCGACCATCTGTCCATTTGTCTATCCATCCATCTGTCCATCTGTCCATCCATCCATTTCTATGTCCATCATCCATCCATCCTATGTTCATCCATCCATCCATCCATCTGTTCGTCCATCTGTCCATCTGTCCATCCATCCATTTCTATGTCCATCATCCATCCATCCATCCATCCATCCATCCATCCATCTCTATGTCTGTTCAGTCACTCACTCATCCATCCTATGTCCATCCATCCATCCATCCCTATGTCCATCTGTCCATCCATCCCTCCATCTCTCCATCCCCCCCCCCCATGTCCGTCCATCCGTCATCCCTCCCTCCCCCCCACCCCATATCCATCCACCCCCCCAATCATCCCATCTCATCCCAGAGCCCCGCCGACCCCCGGTGTCACCCCACATCCCCAGCTCTGGGACTTTCACAGCTCTGCTGATGGGTGACGGCTGCACAGCGTTTTATTGGGGTCGGTGTCCAACCCCATTCTTTTGGGGCTGGTGTCCAACCCCATTCTTTTGGGATCTCTGTCCCAACCCCATTCTATTGGGGTCGATCTGTGTCCCAACCCCTTTCTATTAGGATCTGTGTCCCAACCCCATTCTTTTGGGGTCTGTGTCCCAACAGCATCTATTGGGGTCTGTGTCCAACCCTGTTGCACTGGGGTCCCTGCACCATTGATTCCATTGCTGTGGGCTCAGTGGTGAGGAGGAGGAGGGGGAGGAAGAGCAGCGGGAGGAGGAGAGGATGGGAGGAGGAAGATGAAGGAGGGGGATGGAAGAGGAGGAGGAAAATGGGAGGAGAGTGAAAGGATGAGAGGAGGAAGATGGAAGGAGGAGGATGAGGAGGGAAGGAGGGGGGTGAGGATGGAAGAGGAGGAGGAGGATGGGAGGAGAAGGATGAAGGCAGGAGGAGGAGGGGGGATGGGAGGATGGGGTCAGGGCAATGCAGGGGGGTGCTGTGGGGTCAGAGCAATGCACAGAGCTGCTATGGGGAGGGGGGAGCATGAAGAAGGGGGGGTCACCACGCTGCTGTGTGTGTGTGAGTGTGTGTGTGCAACGTGTGTGTGTGCAACGAGTGTGTGTGCAGTGAGTGTCCCTACAGTGTCCCCATGTCCGTGTGTCCCGCTGTCCCCACGTCCAGCTTTGCACAG